TGTTAGTCTTACCAGTCCTACCAGAGCAGATAATGAGGCGCCAGTGCTATTGAGGACCAAAATGAAAGGGATATTGTTTTTTTTATACCGTTGATGACCTGGTGTTATAGTGGACTGCCTAACGAAAACACCTGATGGTACCTATATTCTGACGTAACGGTGGGGCTGGTTTGGATATGTGATCTTAAACGCTGTACTGACAGAAGCATGGCTATTGTTGGGACTGTACAGGCTGGAAATTTTCCATTGATTCTTTACTGCCATATTTTCCTTCATACCCAGAAGTACTGGGCACTTCCTTTGGCCCTGGACATTGAATGCAACAGCTGGACAGCGAAGGACAGAAAAGTACTGTACATGCGGGGGTATAGTGGAGATTAAAGTGGTTGTAAACCTCTGACATAAAATATATGCAAAGCATATCCATCTACAGTATAGTGTGTACTTGTCACAGTGCAGAGCACTAAGTGTCATTTCTGTCTGCTGCCTAGTTCCTCAGCTCTCAGCATGAATCACTTCTGACAGGTTTTACTAACACCAAGAGATAAAAAGGTGATGTGGGGGGAGTCCCTGAGTCCCTTCCCTCCAGTCATCTCTCAGAGCTCTCCTCACTGAGCTTTACATAGTGTAATTTCAGCTTCCTTCCCCCTGCTGATGTAGAGAAGAGAAGACTGCAGATAAGCAGGTACAATATATGTAGGATGATTTGTTTAATCTCTGTACATCACCTGAGGCTAGTCATTTCACTGGGTATACAGTCGCTTTACCCACCTCCCGTCCGCCATATAAGGTAGTGATGGACGGGCGGCGGTTCTCTCGTTCTGGGAAGACATCATATGACGTCCTCCCACTCTAACTGCGCATGCACGCCATCAGGGGTGTGTGACAATCGGTGGCGCGCCATGTCCCTGAGACACATCGGATCACCTATCACTGTAAAGAGCCAATGATGTCTGTAGCAATCGTGCACACAGAGATGGATGCGGTTCAACCATTTTGCTCCAGCCTCCATCTTGTAGATCCTTCTCCCCCTCTTGGATCATCCCCCTCCCTCTCTGAGATCCACAGTGACATGTGATCGGGTGTGTGTTGGAAGTGTCATAGGCAGGCCAGAGCACAGCAGGAGCTCCGAGCTATAAAACCTCTCTGAGCTGGGTGCCGGGCGGTCTAAGAAACTGTGCAATCTGGCACCTCATAAAAGCCAAGCCTTCCCCTGAGTTCAAAGACATTCCAGGGGAGTCAAAAACTAGATACCACTTTTAAAATCCATTTTCCCCCTATGTCTCATATCTTGAAATATGAGAGACGTACATAAAAACCAGGCATATCTTCAGATTGCTCACGATCAGACAAATCGTTTGATATGTCACACTCCTTGGCTGAAATATATAGGAAAGCAGAAAATTACATCTCTTGAACCTTTCAAGTATGTATTTCATATCTAACCATTCCTCAGATGCGTCTACATATTAATCTACCCGCGGGTGGAATGTTACTTGTGCCTAGGAAAAGTTATGAGCCAAAATATAAGCTCAGAGATTTTGGTTCTAGCTTGGGTCTCCGCCTAGACACCCCCTCCCCAAATGAGGCATTGGTCCTTGGCTTCAGAGATACCCCCTGCTGGGGAATACAAAATAGGCTGTCAGGTCTAAGAGTGGTAGTTGAAGAAATCTTCCTTTTAACATCAGAACCAACTTGGGAGACGGTGCCCTTTTGCTTTGAAACTTGATCTGCTTAACCCAGGGCTTTTGGCAAGTACTCTACCTCTCTAAACTTCTTTCTGTTACCTTTTTGCTGTGTTATTGCTCTCTGTATTTATATGTATATTGGTTACATCTTTTTTCTGTAAATACTTTTATTGCACCCTTTTGACCTTTTTAGTAATAAATCTTTCTTTCTGAAAGTGTTGAACTGTTTCTATAGCTCTTTAATGCAACTTACGAATTCCTGCCGCTGAAGAGCGCTACTATGTGTGTTTAACCCTCTGTATAACCTGTCTGCGGTGATAGTGGTATACAGACGATTATCCAATCATCCTAGTGTTATTGCTGATATTCCTCTTTTTCTCTGTACAAAAAGGAGGTGGTGGCAGTGTGAAGGGTTAATTGCGTAATTAACCTGGCCCAGTAACAATCGCACTCAGGCTGCCGGTACATCGATTTGTGGTCCATTAGCTGGAAAATCGTTGTACAGGGTGCAGCTGGGCGTGGCATTGTTACGCATGTGACATCGCGGTTTTAGATTGGCTAGTCCTTCAGTCACAAGTTTGGTGAGAAGGGGTGGGGTCTGACGCGCGATCGTCACAACGTCAGCTCGGTCATGTGATAAGCTGTGTCCAATCACAGCTGATCACATATAAATAGGAAATGCCGGTTATCAGCAGTCCTCTCCTCCCGCTGACAGCCCCTGAGGAGAGCAGAGCCGGTAATCAGCATTCCTCAGAGGGGACATCTACACTGATATCAGGGCACTGATGATCAGTGTAGCCCCATTAGTGCCACCTGTCAGTGCCCATCAATGCCAAATACCAGAGCACATCAATGCCACATATCAGTGCTCGTCAGAGCTGCCTTTCAGTGCTGCCTAACAGTGCCATCTATCAGTGCCATATATGAGTTCTGCCTTTCAGTGCCCATCAGTAATGCCTATCAGTGCCCATCACTGCAGCCTCATTAGCGTACGTCAGTGAAGGAGAAAAATTACTTATTTACAAAATTTTATAACCGAAACTAAGAAACTTTTTTTTTTCCAAAATTTCAGACTTTTTTTAGTTTGTTTAGCAAAAAATGAAAGTGCCCGGTAGTCAAGTGGTAGGCTTTTTTTTAAAAAAAAAAAAAAACCCACAGATTTACCTTTTTCAAATAAATCTTGTTAGAAATGCTCAATAAATGGTATTACATCTTTTATGGAACACACCAAAGATGTTTTCAGAAGTGTTTTATTTACAATCTGCCTACCTGTGCATGTGCAGTGTAGGCTAGGCTACAATCAAGGCTTGTCACAGGTGTCAGTGTGCTTATGTCAGCTCTCAACGGGACTTTCAAGCCCTCCAATGGCGTGTGTGAAAGCTAACCAGTGGAGAGCTGATCAAATTTGCATTATAGCAACTGTAGATCTAAATAGAGGGTCAGATGGCCCTGTTTTCCTCGGATAGGAGGGTTTAGTTCTTTTTTAAAACTAACCTGTACCCTAACAGTTGACAAGTTGACTTATCACCTTCTAATCAAACCACATGGTGAATGACATGCTCAAGACATAGGGGTGACAAACTGACGGCCCTCCAGCTGTTGCGGAACTACAAGTCCCATCATGCCTCTGCCTGTGGGAGTCATGCTTGTCACTGTCAACCTTACAATGCATCATGGGATTTGTAGTTCTGTAACAGCTGGAGGGTGACCAGTTTGCCACTAGTGCGAGAGCATGTAGGCAAGGTGCACATACTTCCACTTCCACATGCTTCCAGCACCGCCATATGAATCTCACCCTTACTTCACCACAGTACAGTGTTTGGTGCCTAAGTGACAAATCACTACTAGAGAACTGTCATGTGAAAGCAAGGGAGAGTCCTTTGCTCCAAGCTATTGTTGGATCCAAACCAGTGGAGCACCTAAATGAAAATTCTGGGCCGAAACCGAAAATTCAGGCTGCACTTGGTCAAAAACCAAAGCTGAAATGGACAGTTTTATAAAATATATATTTTTATATATAATTGTATGGTATTTGACTTTTTAATTTATATTATACATTTATAATGAATAGGGATTTAAAAAATACAATCCAGTAATATGAAATAGCATTTATTGAAAGTAGCACACACAAATTGGACAGAAAGTAAAATGAAATATATATAAAATAAAAAACTTAAAAAGAGGCATTTTTGCATTGAAGTCAATAGGGGGCTTTTTTTTTTTGCTTTGAAGTCAATGAGATGCGATTTTGCATTGAAGGCAATGGGATGCGATTTTGCATTGAAGTCAGTGGGACGTGATTTTGCATTGAAGTCAATGTGATGCGATATTACATTGAAATCAAAGGGGCGTGAGGGACGTTATCAGCACCTATTGTCAAAACGCTGATAACCCTATCTTTGGCCAATAATTTTCGTGCCAAAATATCGGCGCATCACTAATCAGAACTTAAACAGTGATTTTGTTGGGTGGTGTGGGAGGGTATAGATTGCAACCTATGTGCTCCGTACTCTCCCCTGATCAAAAGCATGTCTGTAACATTGCTTTCAAAGCACAAAAGCACAGATCTGACTAACAAGAACCCATAGCAGGTTCTTACCATCAAAGCAGCTGTCAGGGGTATGACCCCTTAAATCAGTGGTGGTCAACTTATTTTAGATATGATGGATGCCTCAAAGTGCAGACCCCAACACCACCAAAGTGCTGCACATAATATTTAGTGTATGCAATGCTACAGAAAATTGTTAGAGACTTTTGACCTGAAACAGGATATGTTTTAAGACTTCAGACATGCTGAGGGCCACACAGTAAGAGATCAAGAACCAACTGAGCCGTAGGTTGATCACCATGGCTGTAACACAAAAAAAAACATGACTTTGTAAAGTGGTGGTCAAGCCAGCAAATTCCCTCCACTATATAATGGTTAGATCCTTAAAATGACCGTCACGGTAAAAACAAGTCGGGCTTATTACTGAAACATATCACTATATGATAGCATTCTGCATTTTTAAAAAAAAAAAAACAATAATACCCCTTTATCCCAGGAGTAAGATATTTTCCAGAGCTTTATCTAAAGTGATCTTGTTTACATGACTTTACCCTTTTTCTTTTGTAGTTTATTTCACTAAGTGTGGGGCCCAGCATGAACAAATGGAGCCAGTCAAATCAAAAGCCGATCAGCAGGAAAATGCAGGTTCCAAATCCAGATCACATGACAAGCTGAACAGTCGGCACTATACCCTGGAGTGAAGGAGACCTCCCTCCACCACCATGGCCTGCAGCTTGCAGTGGCACCTCGTCCTGCTAAACTTCATGACTTGCGGCCTTGAAATTTGCGTGGCAGCTGGGATCACCTATGTTCCTCCATTACTTCTGGAAGCTGGTGTGGAAGAGCAGTACATGACCATGGTCTTGGGTAAGAATTAATCATGTTTTTTTTTTCCTTCCACTGAACACAGTGGACCTAATGTACAGAATCATCTGAAGGAGGATTGACTCTTGTTTGCCACTGAATTGTATTCCTTCTTTTCAATTTAAAATGAACCTGAGTTAATTTTCTAAGCTTCAGGTAGGCATGTGACAAATGTGTTCCCATACCTTGTAAAAATGCCCCCCGGAGCACTATAATCTTGAATATTCTACTTAAAACTGACTTCACTCATCATCCGTGATTGAAAGATGGGAGAATGAATGAAAGATTAGTCTCCTCCGATCATGAAACACTTTTCAATGTAGGAACCGATAGTATGGGTGATATGAATAGAGAATGGTAGCGGAAAGGGCAGGCATAGTCGGCATGTTTGATGAGTGCATTTAGGTCCAGCTATTGATATTAGGTTCTCTGCCTCAGTCCTCTGGATGCCCCCGCAGTGGTGACTTTCCAGTGCTGCGGGGCTATCTGGGGCAGAGTACTGAGCCAGCACATGGGCTACACTTCATTGCTGGTAGGTAGGTATTGCCCCTAACGCTGTTTAAAACAAAATTCACTAAACTTCAGCTTTATCCCTGGTTCACATATCTGCGTTCCTGCGGGCTGCGTTTTTGCGCGGGCACGAGAGCTCATTCATTTGGATGGACTCCCGTGTCTCGGGACACGCAGGGAAGAAGTCCCTGCAGTTCCTTAGAAACCGCAGCCCGCATCGGTTCCCAGTGCGGTTGCGATTTCCAGTGCAGGCAGCGTGCCATTAGAATTAATGGCACCCACCTGTGGGTCCGCATTCTTCTGTGTGGATGGTGCTGCTGCACGGATGTTTGTGCATGTATGTGACCCTAGCCTCAACGACTTGACCTCCAGAAGGTTTTACCCTGTTCATGACCAGGACATTTTTTTTTCTATTCAGCACTGTGCTACTATAACTGACAATTGCTCAGCCATACAATACTGTACCCAAATTAAATTTATATAATGAATAGAGCTTTCTTTTATATTTTATGTATTTGATCACCACTGTTTTTTTTTTTATTTTTTACTATGAACACCAACCTAAAGATAAAAAACAAACAATATTGTCCACTTTGTTATAAAAAAATATCCAATAAAATGGGGTATATATACTGGAATTTACCCAAGTATAGATGCTAGACTAGCCATGCGGTGATCAGTGATTTATAGTGTGACGGCAATCTGGTGCTAACTGACTGCGAGGAACACTAACTGACACTGACCATGCTAGTGACACTAATACAGTATTAATGATCAGTGATAGCACTGTACTAATCACACTGACTGGATGACAGGAGTGATCAGAAGGGCAGTCAAGGGGCCTAGCAAGGTCATGCCAGTGTAATGTGCGCTGCTTTTACACACAGATCTGGCTGCTTTTTCTCGTGAGAATCCAGATCCTTGTTCTGTGTGTTTGTAAACACAGAACTCTGTGCTGTGATTGGCCACAGCCAATCAGCAGGCATACAGCCAAAATTATTGACTCTAACCTGCTGACAAACTCGTTGTGTCCAATTCCAGCACAGGTCAGCAGAGAACATGCGCACCTGAAACCCGGAAATGGGTTGCGACGTATGGGTATGCCACTGATCCTGTAGCTGCCGCCGTCTAGCAGTAAATCTACTGTTAGTGGGTGGTAAGTGGTGAAAGTACCACATGGCCACTCCTCTCTTCTGCTTGATGCTGTTGGAATGGAGAGCAAAAGGTAAAGCCCAAATTAATCTTCAGTTTAAAACAGCTAAATGATGTATTTCAGGTGCAACAAAATAAAAGGTGTGCAAAGTCTTACAATTGCTTTTATCTTTTCATCTGCTACTGGGACCCTTGCTCTCTGTGTTCTGATACACCCATTACGAGTCAGGCCTAAAACCCTGCAATCAGCAAAGCTTAGGCTCCCCACTAATTGGACACCTGCCCTCTGCAGAGGGACCACTACTTCCCCACAGGGAGCACGGGTCTCATTCTGCAGTATGCTGGCAGGGAACAGGCTTTTCTACTTGGGCTCTGGCAGATTTGGAAAAAAAAAACTTTTTGTTTTGTTCCAGCTGAAATGTATTTAGTTGAAAAGTAGTATTTGAAAAGTTGAGTTTACCCACTTCGGCACCACCCTATAGCAGAAATACTGCTGCAGGGTGGCACAGGTGCACACAGAATCACGTGTATATATACATGATTTTGCATTTCTAGGTAGGGGGCACGTGCCCTACCCAAGCCACCATTCGCGGTCGCGGCTCTCAAGCACCGAGTCCCGGCCGCTAATTACTTGCCGGCGGCTGATTTCCGAAGATCTCCACTGGGGAAGAGGACTATTTTGTTTACTAACAGTCCTCCTCCCTGTCAGCTTGGGCATACTGCTCTGGATGGCTGTGCAGAGCACAGCCATCCAGAGCAGTGCGCTTACAGTGAAGCACACGGACACTGCCCCCTAGTAATAGACTCCCTACACACAGTTAACCCTTTGATCATCCCTCATGTTAACCCCTTCCTGCCCAGTGCCATTAGTACAGTGTCAGTGCTTTTTTTTAGCACTAATCACTGTATTGGGGATGTCAGTGACACCAAGTCAGTCCCCCCCAGTGTCAGAATGTCTGCCGCAGTCCCGCTATAAGTTGCTGATCGCCACCATTACTAGTAAAAATTTTAAAACAAAAATTCCAGTATATATACCCCATTTGTAAATGATATAACTTTCACATAAACCAATTAATGTACACGTATTGGGATTTTTTTTTAGCAAAGAAATGTAGCAGAATACATATTGTTCTAAATGTATGACAAAATGTAGCAGAATACGATAATTGTTCTAAATGTATGACAAAATTTTATCACTATGTCCACAGTGCGCAACATTATCAAAGAAGTTTGCAACCCATGGCACTGTAGCCTCCCTGGTCGATGGACGGATAATAGCAAAAAGTAAAAAATATTGTTTTTTTTCTCAAAATTGTCCGTCTTTTTTTTTATAGCACGTGATCAAATGCTACCAAAAGAAAGCTCAATTCATGGGCAAAAAAGGACATAAATTTCATTTGGGTGCAGTGTTTCATGACCGCGCAACTGTCAGTTAAAATAACGCTGCGCCGTAACACAAATAATGGCCTGGTCAGGAAGGGGGGTAAATCCTCAGGAGGGCAAGTGGTTAAAGTGCTTCTAAAGCCTCAAGGTTTTTTACCTTCATGCATTGTATGCATGAAGGTAAAAAACCTTCTGTGTGTAGCAATCCCCCAGCCCTCCCTAACACTTACCTGAGCCACATCCCAATTCAACAATGTCCATGAGATCCTCGTTTCTCTGGGGACTCTCACTCCTGATTGGTAGCAGCTGGAGCCATTGGTGTGAATGGACGCGCAGAGCCATGGCTCTGGAGCACACCTTCTCAGGTGCCCCCATAGCAAGCTGTTTGCTATGGGGGCACCCAACAGAAGAGAGAGGCCAGGCCAGATTTTAGTATCACTTTAAAGGAGATGTTGATGCTGCAGGTGTCCCATGTCAGCCGTAAGCCTGAGGACTTAGCAGTCTTCTGACCGCAGATCGCTCAGTTCTTGGTCAGCTTGGAGTGGAGAGCAGTGACGGTCAGTCACAAGAATGACTGCACAAGAGTGAAGATTGCAGTTACCGCCTTCTGGACTGGTATTTTATCTTATCACTTTTAAGGTAACTTAAAAAAAACCTTGCTAGAGACAGATTTGCTCTAACTATGTCAAACCTTTTGCCTTGTCATAAGGACCCATTATTTACTCTTTGTCTTTGGCAGGTATTGGCCCTGTCCTTGGTCTAATCCTTGTGCCCCTTATTGGATCGGCTAGTGATGACTGCCAAAGCAACTATGGCGGAAGACGTCCATTCATCTGGATATTATCCCTCGGTGTCCTCCTTTCACTCTTCATCATTCCACATGCTGACTCCTTCGCTTCCTACTTTTCCTATGGTGGAAACCATGTCCATATTTTCTTCCTCATTTTTGGGGTGGGATTACTAGACTGCTGCGTTCAAGTCTGCTTTACACCATTGGAGGCTCTTTTGTCTGACTTGTACCATGATGACGAAGGCTGCGGCCAAGCCTTTGCCATGTTCTCCTTCATGATCAGCATTGGCGGCTGTATTGGCTATCTGCTGACCTCTGTCAACTGGAATTACACGTATATGTCTCTTTACCTCGGTGGGCCAGACGAATGTCTGTTTTTATTGTTAATGCTAATATTTATTGTAAGCGTCCTTGTTACTATGAAGACTGTGGAGGAACATAGCCACAGGCGACAGCCAGCTCTGGACCTCAAACCCTCCGTCACATCAAAGTCCTTCAGCAGAGGATGTTGTTTACCAAAATGGAAGCTGCGATCCTGGAAATGCAACCCGGTCCTATGCCTGCTGAGCCTATGCTGGTCTGTCACCCCCAGGATCTATCATAGTTACTGTCGTATCCCTGCTGTCATGAAACAGTTGTGTGCTGCCCAGCTGTGTAGCTGGATGGCAGTCATGTCTTTCATGCTCTTCTATACAGACTTTGTCGGAGAGGGGTTATATAAAGGGATTCCAAGTGCTGCACCAGGAACAGAATCGAGAATCCGCTACGATGAAGGTAATGGCGTCTGATCATACACTCTGTTAAACTACTTCAATAAAATTAGCTAACAGAGTAGCAATTGAGATTTAAAGTAGGTAAATTGCCATGATGTAAAAAAACAAAAAAAAAACTTGTTTTACCTTTTTTTGAATTCTTTATTGCATTGCATTTCTGCTGATTGCAGCCACTCCTTCTTTACATATTCTACAGCAATAGCTGTACATTAGGACAGGTTTCTGTATTGCGGCAACAGTGGGCCATGCCTGTGTAATGCCACTCCTAGTCTTCATTAGGAACCTGTATGGTAGGGTGACGACATATGCGCACAGTTTGGGAGAAGGGCATAGTGTTGTTACCCTATACGATGAATGTAGAAGAAGGAAGTGCCTGCAACAAGAACCTTTTTGGCAGGATCGATATATATATATATATATATATATATATATATATATATATATATAATATTGCCAAAAGTATTGGAACACCCCTCCAAAGCATTGGGTTCAAGTGTCCCAATCACCTCCATAGCCACAGGCGTAATCAAGCAGCTATGTATGTAGACTACTTCTACAAACATTTGTGAAAGAATGGGTCGCTCTCAGGAGCTCAGTGAAATCAAGCATGGTACAGTGATAGGTTGCCACATGTGCAATAAGTTCATCTGTGACATTTCCTTGCTACTAAATATTCCACGGTCAACTGTTAGTGGTATTATAACAAAGTGGAAGCAACTGGGAACAACAATTATGCCACAAAGTGTTAGGCAGCGAAAAATGACAGAGCGGGGTTAGCATATGCTGAAGCGTACAGTGCTCAGAAGTCGCCAACTGTCTGCAGAGTCAATAACTAAAGACCTCCAAATTTCGTGTGGCCTTCAGATTAGCACAACGACAGTGTGTAGAGAGCTTCATGAAATGGGTTTCCATGGCCGAGCAGCTGCATCCAAGCCTTACATCACCAAGTGCAATGCAAAGCGTTGGATGCAGTGGCGTAAAGCACGACACCACTGAACTCTAGAGCAGTGGAGACGTGTTCTCTGGAATGACCAATCACACTTCTCTGTCTGGCAATCTGATGGACGTGTCTGGGTTTGTCAGTTGCCAGGAGAACAGTACTTGCCTGACTGTATTGTGCCTAGTGTAAATTTTGGTGGAGGTGGATTATGGTGTGGGGTTGTTGTTCAGGGGTTGTTATTGGGGTTATAATTGTTAATAGTTTATTTTTATCTGTTAACAAAATGAGTAAAAAAAAAAAAAAAAAAAAGTCAATATTTGGTGTTGCCACCATTTGCCTTCAAAACAGCATCCGCATGCAGTTTTTGAATGGACTCGTCAGGTAGGTTGTTCCAAACATCTTAGTGAACTAACCACAGATCTTCTGTGGATGTAAGCTTCCTCAAATCCTTCTGTCTCTTCATGTAATCCCAGACAAACTCGATGATGTTATCCCAGACAAACTCGATGATGTTGAGATCTGAGCTCTATGATTGGCAAAACTATCACTTCCAGAGGTACTTGATCTTCTTTATGCTAAAGATAGTTTTTAATGACTTTGGCTGCATGTTTTGGGTCTATGCCCTGCTGCAGAATAAATTTAGGGCCAATCATACGCCTCCCTGATGGTATGGCATGATGGATAAACATCTGCCTGTATCTCTCAGCATGAGGATATTGATTCTGACCAAATCTCCAACTCCATTAGCAGAAATGCAGCCCCACACTTACAAGAAACCTCCACCATGCCTCACTGTTGCCTGCAGACACTCATTATTTTACTGCTCTCCAGCCCTCTGGTGAACAAACTTCTTTCTACAACAGCCAAGTATTTAAAAATTTGACTCCTCTGTACTGAGCTTCTGCTGCCATTTCTCTGCACCCCAGTTCCTATGTTTTCTTGCATAGTTGAGTCGCTTAGCCTTGTTTTCACGTCAGAGGTATGGATTTTTGGCTGCAATTCTTCCATGAAGACCACTTCTGGCCAGACTTCTCAGGACAGTAGCTGGGTGTATCTGGGTCCCACTGGTTTCCACCTGTTCTGTGCTGATGGCACTGCTGGACATCTTCTGAAGTCCAGCACATTAAAGTAGAACTGCTACATTAAAGTAGAACTATAGGAAAAACATTTTTTTACCTTTTGGATAGAGAATGGGAGGGTTATAACCCCTATCAGATTTTGTTTCACCATCTGTGTCCCATTGAAGAGATTTCCCTACACTTCCTATTCTGTAGCAAAACAGGAAGTGGGAGGAAATCCCTGCAAATTAAGGGAATTTCTTGGTGACCCCCAAGTCACTAGAACTAGTGTCCCCATTGGGATTTTTTTTTTTACTTTCACTTCCAATGATATTAGTAAACAGTACAAAGGGAGAGGGTGAATCTCCGTAACTGGGGCACAGACAGTAATAAAAGCTGACAGTTGTTCTAATCCCTCACCACTCTATACAAAGCTTAAAAAAAAAAAGTTTTGCCTTTATTATACTTTAAGTTTCCTTGGCCAACCACTTTGTCTACAGTCCTCAACATTGCCGATCAATGGTGTCTTCAATGCTGAGAAATAGAGGCAGACACATATTTATCATGCCATACTATCAGGGAGGCATGTGATTGGCTCCAAATCTATTCTGCAGCAGAACAATGACCCCAAACATACAGCCAATGTCATAGTGAACTATCTTCAGCATAAAGAAGAACAAGGAGTCCTGGAGGTGATGATTTGGCCCCCGCAGAGCCCTGTAATCAACATCATTGAGTCTGTCTGGGATTACATGAAAAGACAGAAGGATTTGAGGCAGCCTATATCCACAGAAGATCTGTGGTTAGTTCTCCAAGATGTTTGGAACAACCTACCTGTCGATTTCCTTCAAACACTGATATCTAGAAGAATCGATGCTGGTTTGAAGCCAAAGGGTGGTCACACCAGACATTGATTTGATTTTTCTTCTATTTGCTCACTTTCCATTTTGTAAATTGATAAAAATAAACAAAATAAAATATATATTTTTGAAAGCATTCTTACTTTACAGAAATTTTCTTTACACCTGCCTAAAACTTTTGCACAGTACTGTATATATACTTTAAAGAGAATGGTGGCTGAAGCTTGTTCCCTTGCCAGAGCTATAAAATTGTGAGGGATCCTGGTGGGTGTGGAACATCCACCTCTGGTAAAGCTGAGTGGCCTGAGGATAACATCAGAGGCCTGGACCTAGTGTGGGAGTACTACCTGTAGCCCCTGTATTGGTGGCCCTGCCTCTATTACAGGTATGAAAAACTACAAAGCTCTCCAATAGAATCCCAGAGAGATCTAGGAAACGTGTTGTTTAACTCTGCAGACCCTTTAAGTGCTGCCTATGGGTCAGTGGAAATGCTGGAATTTATTGACATCTGTTCCGTAACTCATTACTCCAGGGATGTTACAGTGCAATCTTTGTGCCAAATTGTGAGGAGATTCTCTGCAGCAGTAACAAAGTATTTATATGTATGTGATATAGAGGGAACAGCTGACAACCCTGGATCCCTCCATTCCATGCAGTCTATATATAAAAGCTAAATGAGCCACTCGGTACCCACTTCATACGAGCAGACATTAGCTGCCATTACTGGATAAAATGCTACTTTATGGATGGTGTTATTTCAAGGCATGGCTTGTCTGCCAAAGAGGAGAAGGATGTGCTCTTCGGTCTTCAATGTGAGCTCTATTATTAAATAGATACAATTGTACAGGCACAAAATATACTATATAAGTAAAATGAAATGATGTAGTTAAAACTAAAGATGGGATAGAAAGTAACAAATGTATATTTTAGGGATACTTCTTAAAGTGAACTTGTACTTTGCAAATACTTTCAAACTTAAACAAGGTTTATTCAGGTAAAAAATCTCTCTTCAGCCCCCTCCTTTACATTATGCAGTAGGGGAAGACATTCGTTTTGGAATTTTCAGAAGAGTAAGTAAAGCTGTCCATTACATACATTTATTTTGCTCAGCCTGCAGGCTGAAAATCTAACTGATTCCTCCATCCACACTACACAATGCGTATGGACAAATATCCCACTGTGGCTAATGTATTTTGACAGCCGGTCCCATGACCTGCCAAAGACCTGCGCAGTGCCTGCATCTGATTGGATGCAGGTGCTTTTTAGCTGACAATTTTCTGCCCAGCTTCTTTGATTTTTCAGTTAATGGATGTCAGGTGGGAGGCTCCTGACACGGCCACCCGCAGAGCGATTTTTAGACAGTTCATAAAACAAATGTAAACTAGGCTTTATCCCAATTTGGCTGCAAAAGTGGAAATACATTTTATCTGATTCTCCTCTGGAGCATATTTTTCATTTTTCACACCCCTTGTTAAAATCTGCATTTTTTGCTAGAAAATGTTTTAAGCCTCCACAGAAAATTATATATTTTCTAAAAGCAGATGCCCTGTGGAATAAAAACAGGGTAGTTGCATTTTTATTTTGTACAATATCAAAACCTTTGTCAGTTTATTTTCATTTGCTGTCCCTGTCCTTTCCCTTTACTTCCTATCCCAGTAATATAACAGGGAGTGAGAGTAGTTCCTCTTGTGTACAACAAGCCTGTCTTGTTTTTCCTAAATGATCAATGCTGCCAGCTGTAGCCAGCAGCACTGATCATTGTATTCTGATGTTGGGGAAGGCTCCACACTATCAGAACACAATAGCACAGCAGAAGCATTTCTCATCCACATTTAGTCTGTGGGAATCATATTTTTTTTTTTTTTTTTTCAATCCGCTGGTTGAAAAAAAAAATTATCAGTGTATGGCCTGTTTTCGACAGTTGACACCACAGCAGGTGTCCTCACTGGAAGATCTTCACTCACCTCTTTTTAGTGACAGCTGTTAAATTTGCATTTCCCACTCATAGCGGGAGGACACAGATTGAGAAAACCTCATGGGGATTATAACCCTTCCTTACTCAAACCCACCTTAAAAACAATGAAAAAACGTTTGGTTATAAATAACTTAAGATTAGTACTTTCTTGTTAAATTACATTTAAAGCGGAACTTCACCTTAAAAAGGAAGTTCCACTGGTCCTCCCCCCTCCACTTTTGTCAGTTTTTTTTTTTTCCCCGGAAAGGTAACCGCTCCCACTTCTGCTGTGATTGCTTAGTTCCCCCCTCCATCCCTCCCTGCCATCAACCTCCTGGGACACATCAAAGATCCCAGAAGGCTGCCGCACATAGCATAACGCGACACATGAATGCACACTCAGAAGACGACTTTGAAGCCAAAGAGAAACTGGCTTCCCACAGTCAACATGGCAGCGCTGGGAACCTAAACCAGCCCAGGTGAGGACAGAGCTGGATCTCTGAACTAATAAATATCTCTTTATTAAAAGTCAGAAGCTACAGTATTTGTAGCTACTAATTTTTAATTTTTAAAAAACTGATTAAAGGTCCTCTTTAAGCTTGCACTGAGAGTTTTCATTTAACAATTCCTCCATCCACGTTATACGGTACAGATGGAAGAATCTCCCACTGTGCCTATTGAATTGTGACAGTCAGCTCTGCCATCTGTCAAAATTCCTGAAGAGATGCTGCATCTGATTGGATGCTACCACTTTCTGGATGACAATTTTCTCCCCAGCTCCTTAGATTTTTCAGTGAAGGGATGTCAGGGAAGCAGGCGGCTGACAAAAAGAAAGTTCAAACATAGCACAGTAAGCTTTACCTTTTGCCATCTCCATTTCCAGCTTCAGCTTTCAGATGAACTGTGTGTGTTGGAATTCTTGGAAGGGTGTGGTCGGTAGCATGCCACATGTGCTATTGATCGACTCATGTACAACCAGGCTATTGGGTGTACAACCAGCCTATTGGGTTTCTCTCCCGAATGTAAGAACACCATTTAATTACCCACGTCATCTCTCATACCTGTACACCCCCCTATGGACCAGAGCAATTTTCACATTTCTACTATGGGCCTGTTTGGCAAGCACACTTTTCACACTATTTAAAATAACAAATTGGGGGAACTATTTTTGGTGATCATATCCTGCACAAATGATTTTATTTTTTTCATGAAATCCAGAGGAAAAAAAGTAACAAAACTAAAAAAAGATTCAGCTTTTATTATGTTGCTCTAACTATGTTTAGTTTAAAAAAAAAAAACCTGTTGATTAAAAGTATGCATTTTATTCTTTATTTGTCCTGAGACTAAAAAAAACTATTATTCTGGTAATAAGCATTATAAAATTATTTACAAATGATATAAATGTGTTTTTTTTTTTCAATTTTGTACTTTTAAAATAGAAAACAAAACTGAACCAACAAAATAAATAAAGAAGAAAAAAATGTTTTCACATTGTTAAGAAAAATAGATTTAAACAATCTGCAATATAATATTTAAAAAATAATAAGGCAATAAGGGGATAGAGGAGTTAATTAGGGCTTATTAGGATAAACGAAGGGTTAAAAAGGGGTTTTATAGGGTCACATTTTATATAGTGTTTTTTTGTTTGTTTTATTTTTAATTCTTTTGTCTGGTTGCTTTACGTGACACCATTTGCAGATCAAGGCTCATCCCTTTGATCTACAGATGAGAGAAAAATGTGCATACAATGTAACAATCTTACTTTGTATTTCTCTTTCTAGCATCTGAATGTGTGTATAATCTCTGTGTCAGAAGTCAGCTTCTGCAGCTACTGCATTTACAGAACAACTGTGAGCGGGAGGGGGGAATTGTAGAATTATTATTATTATTATTCAGTATTTATAAAGCGCCAATAGTTCGCTCAGCGCTGTACATTACAAAGGGGGACAGAACATGTGACAGAACAATACCAATACAATGCAAAACATGAGGGGATCGAGGGCCCTGCTCTTTCAAGCTCAATCTAGAATGACAGGGTTATAGTGATATAGTGAAACATTTCTATACCAAGATTACACTTTATGTATTTTTCTAATTTGAGTAATAGTGTCCCTTTTAAGGTTTAGGCTCCATTCACACATGTGCAACTTGTCCTACGATTTTGGACACTAAAGTTGCATGACAAGTCCATCCCTATGTTTTTCAATGACAGTTATTCAAACATGTGCAACTTAAAGTTGCAGCGACTTCAGAGTAGTTCATGTACTACGTTGGTAAAACTTTCATGCAACTTGAGCGCCATAGACTGCAATGTAAACCCTATAAAGTCACATGAAAGTTGCATCTGAATGTTATACATGCAACAGTTGTCCATTATCATAATGACAGACAAAGTTGCACTCCAAAGTCGTATGAGTTTGGAGTTGTACAAGTGTGAATGGAACCTCAATGGCAGTCTGCTTACGATGATATATTGCTGTCTTTCAGGAATCCGTATGGGAAGTCTCGGACTTTTCCTCCAGTGTGCGACTGCGACCTTCTTTTCAATGATCATCAACAAACTGGCCAAACAATTTGGGTCGCGGCAAGTCTACCTGTCCAGCATGATCACCTTCACCTCCTCTGCCCTAGTCATCTGCCTGTCCCAAAATATTGTCATCGTCACCATTATGTCCTCGCTAACTGGATTTGCCTACGCTACACTCCAGACACTTCCGTACACCTTAATATGTCTCTATCACAAGGAAAAAGATGTAAGTAATAAAAAGCATCAATAAGATTTTCATGAGCATAAAGTAATCTTTATAGTTCTTCTCAAGTGCTCTCCCTTCAAACACTGTCATCTCTGGTGGAGTCTTCATGCTGAATTGAAATACTTTTTGACTTTACAGGAAAGCTTGTAACTTTACAGGAAGAGAGCTGTGTAAGGTCAGAGCTTACAGATCAGAGTCACAGTATGGCAGATTGATTCTGAGAGCTTTCATGGAAAGATCATGCACTATGGATATATACCTTGGTACATGATTAGTCACAGGATCTGGCTACTGGGTATCCCTGGATTTCCTATTGTCAATAGTTGTCCCTGCAGTTTAAAAGGTTTAGTAAATTCTTCAGTACTGTACTGTACTGCATTGGCCCTACAGGGCTGTTACTAAAATACTGCTATTATTGACTTATAGCATCTACACTATATGGCCAAAGGTTTGTGGAACCTCACCATCACACCTACAGGTGAAACTCGAAAAATTAGAATATCATGCAAAAGTTCATTTATTTCAGTAATGCAACTTAAAAGGTGAAACTAATATATGAGATAGACTCATTACATGCAAAGCAAGATAGTTCAAGCCGTGATTTGTCATAATTGTGATGATTATGGCTTACAGCTCATGAAAACCCCAAATCCACAATCTCAGAAAATTAGATTACATGCAATCGATAAAACAAGGATTGTACATAGAACAATATCGGACCTCTGAAAAGTATAGGCATGCATATGTACTCAGTACTTGGTTTGGGCCCCTTTTGCAGCAATTACTGCCTCAATGCTGCGTGGCATGGAAGCTATCAGCCTGTGGCACTGCTGAGGTGTTATGGAAGACTAGGATGCTTCAATAGCGGCCTTCAGCTCTTCTGCATTGTTCGGTGTCATGTCTCTCATCTTTCTCTTGGCAATGCCCCATAGATTCTCTATGGCGTTCTAGTCAGGCGAGTTCGCTGGGCAATCAAACACAGTAATCCCACGGTCATTGAACCAGGTTTTGGTGCTTTTGGCAGTGTAGGCAGGTGCCAAGTCCTGCTGGAAAATGAAGTCAGCATCCTCTTAAAGCTAGTCTACGGAAGGAAGCATGAAGTGCTCCAAAATCTCCTGGTAGACGGCTGAGTTGACCCTGGACGTAATGAAGCACAGTGGACCAACACCAGCAGATGACATGGCTCCCCAAATCAACACAGACTGTGGAAACTTCACACTGGACTTCAAGCATCTTGCAGTGTGTGCCTCTCCATTCTTCCTCCATACTCTAGGTCCTTGGTATCCAAATGAGATGCAAAAGTTGCTCTCATCAGAAAAGAGGACTTTGGACCACTGAGCAACAGACCAGGTCTGTTTTTCTTTAGCCCAGGTAAGACGCTTCTGATGTTGTTTGTTGTTCAGGAGTGGCTTGACAAGAGGAATACGACATTTGAAGCCCATGTCCAGGATCCGTCTGTGTGTGGTGGCTCTTGATGCACTGACTCCAGCCTCAGTCCACTCCTTGTGAAAGTCCCCAACACTTTTGAATGGCCTTTTCCTGACAATCCTCTCCAGGCTGCGGTCATCTCTGCTGCTTGTGCACCTTTTTCTTCCACACTTTTCCCTTCCACATAACTTTGCTTTGATACAGCACTTTGGGAACATCCAACTTCTTTTGCAATTACCTTTTGAGGCTTCCCCTCCTTATGGAGGGTGTCAATGATGATTTTCTGCACAACTGTCAGGTCAGCAGTCTTTCCCATGATTGTGATTCCTACTGAACCAGACTGAGAGACCATTTAAAGGCTCAGGAACCCTTTGCAGATGTTATGGCTTAATTAGCTGATTAGAGTGGGACACTTTGAGCCGAGAATATTGCACCTTTTCACAATATTCTAATTTTCTGAGATTGTGGATTTGGGGTTTTCATGAGCTGTAAGCCATAATCATCACAATTATGACAAATCATGGCTTGAACTATCTTGCTTTGCATGTAATGAGTCTATCTCATATATTAGTTTCACCTTTTAAGTTGCATTTTCAGTTTCCTCACACACTCCAAAGACATGCTGGTAGGTTAAATGGTTCCTGTCAAAATTGGCCCTAATATGTGTATGTATGAATGTTAGGAACCTTAGATTGTAAGCTCCTTGAGGGCAGAGATTGATGTAAATGTACAATATACACTGCTCAAAAAAATTAAAGGAACACTTTTTTTTTTTAACAAGAACAAACATGTCTATACTTACCTGCTCTGTGCAATGGTTTTGCATAGAGCACCCAGATCCTCCTCTTGGGTCCCCTGCCAGCGCTCCTGGCCCCTCCCTCTTGTTGGCTGCCCCCATAGTTTTGCACTATTATGTCCCATAGTCAGCCAACAGCGGGCTAAAGTTCGCTGTCGGGTGATGTTACAGAGCCGGTCCAGGCTCTGGAGACATCCCAGATTTAATGTTAAGATACACTCAGATACCTGGACTAGCAGCTGGCTCAGCCTTTCAACAACCCACTGAGAGCCTGAGCCAGCCACTCCCATCCCCTCCACAGCCCAGCGCTTCAGTGCGCACTAGAGGGACAGAGTGTAGAGCTGGTGATTGACAGTCACCAGCTCTCTACTCACTGAATACTGAGAACTGAGCAATCTTTGATCGCTCAGTTCATGGTCTTATAGGCAGCGGGGGACAGATGCAGCATCAGAATGATACTGCTTCCTTCTAGGTGAATATAAATTTTTGTTTTGTCATTTCCAAAATTCTCTTCACATTAGATGCTAGGTGCCTAGACACCAGCGTGAATGTCATTTTGCTGAAATGTTTCTTAGGAGAATAACCCGAATTTTGTTTAAATCAATATCCAAAACTTTCTTTGAAATGCACTGGAGTCAAAAAGAAAGCAAATTTGACATAAATTTCTCTAGAGACTAAATCGGTGTCACCCAATTTCAGGACTCATACCTAAGAGCCTTTATTTTGCTGTCAATGTAATTACATTCATTGGCTCTTTAAAGTACACTTTATTTGCACAATGCACAGTGTAATATATAATATATATATATATATATATATATATATCTACATACATACAGTATTTAAAAAAGGTGTTTTTAGATGTAAAGAACATTCTTTCACTACTCTATTTTGCCCATTCAGTTTGGCTTTCAGAAAATGTCTAAGATCCCTGTCTTCTGGCCATCTGACCTGAGAGATTGATTTCTTTCTTCCCTTTCAGTGCTTGGATAAAACTTATCTTAAAGGGATCTTGATCTCTTTAGTACCTTCTGAGTTCCTGACCTTTTTACCATGCCCTCAAACCTCTAGGGTTGCCGACCCCAGAGGTTTGAGGGCATGGTAATAAGCATTTTGATGCTGTATCTAAGCGGTAAATAAAGTGTATGTTTATTAATCCCATAACGGAATTACACTATATCCTGTTTATATATCACTCGCATGAAGCACGGGTACTATAAGTACTATGGAGTACTTCCTTAAAAACCATGATGACATCTAAGAGAAGGTGGTTGATGCCATTGTAAGGAGTATTATTCAGGCTTGGAGGAAATTTGTGGGAGCATGTTGCTTATCTCCACAGTATTGATAAGGCGTTTTTTTTGTTTGTTTTTTTGGCAAGGGTATTTATGCCTTACACTATAGAAGTGTACACTGAATGGTCACTTGGATTATTTCATTCACAGAGTGATGCACTATCACGGATTTTACACTGTGTTCACATTTTGCACTTTAATTATCACTTTTTTTGAAGTTGAACAGTGCATATGGTATATGGGTATGATATTGAATTATTAAGTTATGCACTGTATGAGTTTTCTCCTTTTTTTTTGAGGTACATGCTTTCCTTTTGGGAGCCAACGGGAGGGCTCAATACCAAAGGATCTGAAAATTTGCATTATTGGAAACAAAGATTGGAGTGATTTTTTTTTCGACCTGAGTGACTTATAATTTTGATAATTTTTTTGTTTTTTTATTATCAAAATTTATTTTATTTTACATTTTTTGGATATTTTTGGGTTCATTTATATATAATTTTTGGATTCATTATATGTAAATTTGTTTCACATATTTAGGGATATTTATTTAGCATATTGGAGTTATATTGTTGGTTTGCACTTTCAAGGGTGAAAGTTAGATCTTATGTGTTTAGAGGGTGTAGTTGTAATATATAATTTTGTTTGGCACTTTTTTGTATGATACCGTAGTTATAGATTTATAGAACCAAACTATTGACAAGCATCATAATATCACTTCTAGGTGGCTGCCAAATCAATAGCAGTGATGCCCCTGCTTGACGCATTTCTGCATAATGCCTGCACCAGGAGCACTCCTGACAGGCATTACGCTGAAATATGACAAGTAGTTCTATTTGTATATTGTCTATGTTATATTTTATGTGTTTGGAGTAGCTGGTGCTCAGGCTTTTGTTTGATAGTGCACAGTGTATTTCCTTTACTATATTTCTCAAATATAACTTTACTTCTCCGTAGGTTTTTATGCCAAGGCCCGAGTTGCCACACACCCGCACTGGAAATATCCTTACCAAAGAAGCGGTCTGCTTTTCACCCAACTTGCCGTACAGTCACCAGAATGGTACTTGTAAGCACAAAGAGCCAGGGCACAATAAAGATGGCAGCTACCTTTCTCAAGAACTAGAGATCTACGTCCATTCCCAGGAGCACCATCATTGCCCAAAAAACAACAATAACCAGAGTCCCAATGGCATGGACGACACTTGTAAAGATGTTTACACCAAACGTGGCATTGGCCTGGATTTTGCCACACTCGACAGCACATTCCTTCTTTCTCAGGTCTTCCCATCCCTCTTCATGGGGATATTGGTACAGCTGATGGAAAATGTCACTGTCTACATTGCATCATCGGTCATTTTTGGTGTTTTCGCCATTTACCTGGCAAACCGCATTGTTTTTGACCAAAAAGACATGCGGACTTAACACGACTGTAGCGGGGCAAATAGGGCGTCAGTACCTTTGTTTACAATGTTCGCGTTTACAATAACCGAAGTTTCAGTCGGGCC